AAAGACTGTTGCTTTTGCCATGGTAATATGAAATCTAAAAGACTGTTGCTTTTGCCATGGTTATATGAAAGCTATAAAAACTGTTACATGTGCCATGGTAATATGAAATCTAAAAGACTGTTGCTTTTGCCATGGTTATATGAAAGCTATAAAAACTGTTACATGTGCCATGGTAATATGAAAGCTATAAAAACTGTTACATGTGCCATGGTAATATGAAAGCTATAAAAACTGTTACATGTGCCATGGTAATATGAAAGCTATAAAAACTTGCATATGCCATGCCATGATAATATGAAAGCTACACCTAAATCTTCAGAAACATTCTTATGTAGTGCTACTGATAACAGTGTAGTCTTTATCCCATTGGAGAGCTTTAAATTCTCTCTACATTGAGACTCATACTAGCATAAAAGTGTTAATTGTTTGGATGGGGGGGGGGGGTAATGGTAATTTGAAACAGCATCAGACCACCATGAAGATGCACAAAGATAGCATGAGGTGGTTTCAGCTTTTTGATAATTAAAAGAAATAATTACACACTTCTTAAAGACAAAAAAAACGGTTATTTCAATGGAACTTTAGGCACAGTACATATAGTAGGTTTGAAAACCTTAATAGACTTTAAAAAGAGACAGCATTTCAGCTTCTATAATTCATTATGGACCAACCATCTTGCTGGAGATGTTGCTAGGTGCTTAAAAGATTTGGGGCTTGGGCCCAGAGGCACATGAATTTTCAGCATTTGAGTATGATATAGATTATGGTTTTCTATTCTGATTTCTCAAGACAACTACTGGGGATTCAGGGCACTGTCATATAGAATCGGGGCAGGGGATCCGTGTGCTAGCACCTAGCTATGTCTCTGAATCTTGAAAATATTTAACAGGTACAGTCACCTCTTCAGCCCACTTGCCCAGCCTTACTTTCCTCATCAGATGCAGAGATCTATGAATTCAGCCTATGTGTTTGTAAATTAAGTTGCAGCCTATCTTTCCATCCCCTAATATCAACATAAATCCTTCATGATACCTCAGTAAAATTACTCATCAAGATTAATCAGCTTTGCAGACGAAACAAGTATCTTTTCAGCATGTTTTAAGTTATCTTAAAACCCAATTTATAAATAAAAACTTAAGAAAGCCTAAGTAAGAATCTTTATATTCTACTGAACAGTTTTATAACAATGGAAAAATTTAGCTCTTAAAATATTCATTCTAAGTTTAATAGCTGAGGTCTGAATGTTTATTAATTTTTGGTATTCTTTAAATTGTCTTTCTACTTGGTTATTTCACGTTATGTGATCTGGACAGTTTCTCTGATACAAGCTGGAGACACTTCAAAATGATAATTATGTACATTAATGGCAGATACTTCAGAGAGAATAAAGTTTAACTCTGTATGTTGTTGAAAAATGAATAAAACTAGTATGCTCAGATTAATATTTTTGTACCGATAAACTTGCTTCTTACCTTTTTAGGTTATTCAGAAACTAGTCAAGTGAGTGAGTTATATGGTGGTGTTTTTAAACAAGTTTCTCTGAACATTTTAATTCTCTGTGATCTCACAGAAATAGTTGTATAGTTCATTCACATATGTATATGTTATTTTCTTTTAGGTATTGGACGTGGAAAACCATTAAAAAGTGAGTGAATGATGAACAATCATGGTAGTTAGTCGATCTGGTCTTTTTCGGTGCAGGAACTTGGCTGTTATGTTTTTATAGACAAAACAAGTGGGAAAATATTTCTTTTAGTAAATGTATTAATTTCTTTTTCTTATATTTTATAAATGTTCATTTGAGAAAATGTTTAAATGTGTGTTATCTTTATTTGTTGAAAAAAAAAGAATAAAAAATTTCTTTTATCATAAATATTTTTTTCTCATGAACAGCGTCATTTTTTTGTATATATTTCATTCATCAATTATTGCATGGAATTACTCACAAAATATAAAGTACCAGGGGATGTAAAGTTCCAGATTTGTTTCCATAATTTGCCTTTTAGCTCTAATTCTATAAGTTAAAACACTTGGAAGAAAATCTTAAGTTATGTTTTGGCAAAAATTCATATTTATATACATAGCCTACAAATAAATAAGCAGACACCCATTTCAGAAAGGGTGCTATTTTATTAAGTACATATACATGAAATAGATGGTACACTATTACCATTGTACTTAATGAATCTGCCTTTCGCAATATTTAAAACAGACACATAGCTACATATCATATTTACATCTGAGGGATTGCACCACTCTCCTTAAGAAGAACTTTAATGAGGGTGTTGCTAGAAGCAGGTTGTTTGTGATACTTTCACAGGGAATGTTCAAGAATGGACATTATTACGTTTGAAATGATTCATAATTGGCCTGGCTTCAACAGAATGGTAATGTACAGATTTTCGAGCCATTTTTTGTTACTCGTATATCACAGTTATTTGCGTATAATATCGTGAAGCTTGTTGATTCCTGTCCTTGGGGATATGTATCGATGTACACCTTAATGTTTTAAAGTTCTCACAGTATAATATTTATAGAATTGGAATGGTTATTTATATATATATCTGTATCTTTATTATGAAATCAGGTAAAACATGAAAATTATATTCTGTGAGCTCAGGAAATTTAAGAGATTTTACTGTTTTATTGTAATATCAATGAAATACCTATTGCTGTTAAAATACTGTAATTAAAACTATTTTTTGGCACTAGAAAATTTCTGTGCTAAGTACAATTTTTATAAGAATTTTTTCACTTTTTTTAGTATTATGAATAAGGCACAATGTACATCAGTGCTTAGGTTGTTACTCTGTTAACTGTCAAAAAGTGAAATAAAGTTATCACACTTCTTTGAATTTATTTACTATTTTGGAATCTGTTGTTAGGCATGTTCTTTTGGATTATTTGGTAAAAATAATGCTATGTCCAGTTCATGTAACATTCATGCAGTGTACCAACTTGAAGAGGGCTGCCAATTCACTAGCAAAAGGAACTAATAGGTTGGATTGGGAGGTGCTGAATTTATATGTTGCACAGGGCACCATCAAACATTGATACAGCACATGATAATGTTAAATATTTCTTCAGTGCAATTTGCTACATGGCATGTTCTCTTGTAGATCTATGGTCACAAACAACATTTGAACAGAAATTTTGAGAATAAAGGTACACCAACTTGCAGAAAAAAATGGGTGCAATAACTTGTTCACTCATTAACTGACATTAAATTGCATAATAACTTACTAATTACACATTCACTGATTTTAGTATTATATTGTTACTCATTTTCTACTTACTATGTGAAATTTCTAGATGGTAATGATATTATCATTATATAATGATGAATTCCCTCTAGCAAACAAATATCTAATTTTAAAATACAGGTTGCAAAACTTCCACCAGCCTAGAATATGATTTCCCTTAAACTATTCTAATAGATAAAATATTACACTAAATTGTCCATTCACCAAGTCTTTTTTTGTGTGTGTGTGTGTGTTTTTAGTGTTTTTCTTTACTAAGAGTTACAGTACACAGATGGAATGGCCTCTTGGCCCTTATCCTAACTTGCTGTCCTGTGACTGGGGAAGTTCTCCCTAGATAGGTGGTTGAGTGAACTCACTGATGGCTATCTGCCATCCTAACTTGGCAAAGATTTAGGTTTATTGTGAAAAACCAGAAGTGCTTAGAGATCAGATGATCTTTCTTTGCCACACTCATGGGTGGAGGAATTGTTTCTTGAAAAAGAAACTGCAAGGTGTCTGTGCTAAATTGGGTTGTTACTGCTAAACATCTCGGAGTTAAGAAGACATTGAGTCACCTATGACAGTGATTTTACTGGATAGGTATGAGGCAAGATGTGGAAGAATGGTGCAGGACCTGCAGTACGTGTTGTGCTGAAAGGGGACCCAAGTATAAGGGACATGCTCCAATGAAGTTATATCAAGTTGGTGCACCAATGGAAAGAGTAGCTGTTAACATTGCTGGTTATTTGCCACAAACTCGTGCTGGAAACAAATACATTTGTGTGGTGATGGATTATTTCACCAAGTGGCCTGAGGCATATGCAATACCAAGTCAGGAAGCTACAACTGTAGCTTCGGCTATTAGTGATTTCTTCAGATTTGGTATGCCACATGAACTGCATTCGGATCAAGGCCGTAACTTTGAATCAGCTGTGTTTCATGAATGCTGCAAGTTGTTTGGCATCCGAAAGACCAGGACAACGCCACTTCACCCACAGTCTGATGGGATGGTCAGCTATTACAAAACTTTGCCAATTCCTGTCCCAGTGTCCAGTTGTACTTTTTTTCCAAGATGACTGGGATGCCAGCAAAGCATAAATCCACTGGATACACTCCAGCAAAGCTGATGTTTGGTCGAGAACTTCGGTTGCCAGTAGGCCTACTAACAGGACGCCCACCTAACGAAGAGTTGCCTGAAAATGTGTCAGAGTTCGTGAAAGTGTTATCTGAAAGGATGGATGATATTCACCATCAAGTGCATTCAAACTTGCAAACGTCTGCTGATTACACGAATCTATGTTATGATAAGAGATCTACCGAATTCAGCTTTGTACCAGGAGACAAGGTATGGTTGTATAGTCCCAAGAAGACCAAAGGGAAGTCTCCAAAGTTGTCTTCTCCATGGGAAGGCCCATATGACATAGTGGATCGTCTCTCAGACGTGACTTTCAGAATAAAATGTGGTCGGCGAGGTAAGCCAAAGGTGGTGCATGCCAACAGGCTTTGGTGTTATCATGGTCCAGAACATTTCAGTTGGGACGAAGTGAACAAGGAAACAAATGACGCTGCTGAAGAAGTGTCACCTGAAAAAGCCACTGTCGAAGAAGAAACTATTCTCAGTTTTGAGAAGGGAAACGGTGAAGCTGTTATTGAAATTACTACCACTGATGTGACTACTACCAATAATGGGACATTTCCTGATGGAGAAGATGAACCCCATGTGAAGTAGAAGCCAATGAGACAGAGACCAGTATGGAAGGAGATACGTCCTAGTAAAATTAAGAGACTTTGTTGTATTTTAATTGTGTGTTTGTAAATTCTGTACATTTAATCAAGTTATTG